ACTTACCCGCCAGTAAACCATACTACCATGCCATCCCGCAAATGTCATAAAAAGGGACAAAGGGAAACTGTATACACACATATAACTGTAACAGGAGATGGGCAGCAGCATCTTCCTGACAATATATCCAAAAATAATAAAAACCAGACAAAAGTGAGGATTCCAAATAAACTTAAATAAGAATGTAGATAGTTCATCCATCCTAAGAATCAAGTCTCAACAATTTTTCCAATCAGTTTCACGTATTCCATAAATTGACTAAGATTTTTCTTTGTTTACTGAGTAACATTACCTATAGTATATAAACAGTTTTATAATTGATTTCGTAAAAATAAGTAATTAAATTTAGTAGTAATTAAAAATATAGAACATTGGTCTAATGAAAAAGTAAGTTGGATTAAAGGGCAAACTTAACTTTGCAGTAGAAAAAAAATACATTTTCCCATATGGCAACAGGAAGTAGCATAGAAGGTGTGAGACAGGTAGTGATCATTAAGGTGCCTGCCTAGTGATGACTAAGGCAAATACTTCATTATATTGGTAAGGAACCAATATAACGAACTTGTGTGAACTTTTATTAATAAGAAGTATAATACCATGGACCATGTAGTGTGGCGGTCTAAGAATATCCACTGCCCTATATACCTACCCAAAGGACGAGTGATCTAAGAGAAGCTACAAAAAAAATTCAATCAACTAAACAACTAAAAGACAATTTGACTCAGAAACAGACCAATCAGTTTCTTCCATTTACGGTCCGTCAATTAAAAGTGAAATCGAAAGATATTGTTACTGACAGAGATGAAAAATTGGTGAAAAGGGCGGCTACAGAATTTCATCTATATATATATATATATATATATATATATATATATATATATAATCTTTCGCTGTTACAGCTGCATGTTTCTGGAATGCGCTACGCATACGTCCACTAATGTACATAGATTTCTCTTAAGGAATGCCACAAATAGCGGGCCTGTGCCATGATCATCCATAACTTCCTGCATGTTATCATACCTCGTAAAATGTAAATCATTTAATAAACACACACATACCACACACATACATCGTTCACACAGACACATACACACACACACACACACACACACACACACACAGACACACACAAACACACACACACACACACACACACACACACACACAAACACACACACACACACACACACACACACACACACACAAACACACACACACACACACACACACACACACACACCATTCATCACCCATACCATTTGCGTTTTCATTTAAATACGTTCAAGTAATACATTATTAACCTTATTTAAATCACCGCTAATTTAGAACAATATAAATCGTGTAATTTATAACAATGTAATGAAATGCTTTCCTATTTATGACTGTTATAGATAAGGAAGAGCGGGGAATCCTGACACAGGTTTTCTTTTAAAGTTACTAGCAGGACCCATCTACTATATTGTTTATGTATGTAATTTTAAGGAAATAAAGCATTATTATGGGGTATCTATATAGTTTTCTCATCTGGTTGGGATGTATAAATATATAATTATAAATGAAAATGAAAAGATAAATATACATAAATATTAATAAAATAAAATAAATACAAAAATACATAAATAAATAAAAGCCCAACCAGATGGAAGCCCTCGGCAGGGGAGACCAAACGGCCAAGGGTTAGGGGGAAAGAGAAAGAAACCGGCGGACGATGCGGGCAGTATCAAGGAGCACCGCCTTCTGCATTTGAGCCCGGAGCGGTCCGTCACGGAGTCCCAGTCGTCTCAGATGACCAGAGAGGCTAACTGGGATTAGCCCATTCGCAGAGACGACTACAGGAATAATTTCGGTCGGCATACCACCCCACATGTCGATCACCTCGTGAGCCAGGTCCAGATACTTTGATTGCTTATCTGTTTCGGCTTTCACGAGGTTCTCGTCATACGGGATGGTAATATCGACCAAAAATATCCTTGACTGTGCCCGGTCCATCAGCACAATATCAGGCTTATTCGCAAGAATAGTCCTGTCTGTGATGATGGCCCGGTCCCAGTAGAGCCTGGCGCGGTCATTTTCGAGCACGGCTTCCGGCAAGTACTTGTAATACGGCAGTTTCCGGTCCACAAGACCGTATTTCAGAGCGAGCTCCTGGTGTAGAATTCTGGCTACTAGGTTGTGCCTGTGCAAGTACTCAGAGTTAGAAAGCGCCGAACAACCGGAGATGACATGCCTAAGTGACTCCCCGGGATGGCGACAAGCTCGACAGACGTCGACGGTGCCATCCTTTAGGATGTATCTCCGATAGTTGTTGGTCTTAATAACCTGATCCTGTATTGCACAGACAAAACCCTCGGTTTCCCCGAAGAGGTCACCGAAACGTAGCCAGTTGAGGGAGGCGACTGTATCTACGAAGGGCTCATGTAGAGCCCTGTAGTACCTCCCGTGGAGCTCTTTCTCCTTCCATACTGTCTCCCGGTCGGAAATGCTAAGCACTGCTGGGTCCTGCCATTGCTCGTTGGCTAAGGATAAAGGGGTAAGTCCTTTATCACAAGAAATGACGTCATTATAGAATGGATCATCCGATCTCGCCAGGAAGTAATGACGGAGGCTGCACACTTCACGATTATGCATGGTGAGCGCGCTCAGAAAGCCACGCCCACCATGATTTCGCGGCAAGTACAGCCTCATTACCGACGATCTCGGATGATGCATCCTATGGGACGTCATGGTAGTGCGGACTTTTCTATCCAGGGCGTTAAGTTCAGTCTGACTCCACCTGAGTATGCCAAAGGTATACATAAGGACAGGTATGACCCAACCGTTATACGCGTGTGTCTTATTCACAACGGACAAAAGGCTATTTGGTCACGCGTGCATAAAACACGTCGCAAACTGACTGTTTCATACCAGCCTCATCGATACCGATGTTCTGTGACATACCCAGGTATCGGTATGTTTCAGCCACGGAAAGGGTCCTTAAGTTGACGGGCATAGATAAATCTATGCCCTCAGAGTTAGCAACCCTTCCCCTTTCAACATGGAGGACCGCACACTTATCCTTCTCCAGCTCCATTCTAATGGAATTGCTAAATTCACAAGTGATTTTTAGCAATTCCATAAGATGGGAGCGACTGGAGGCGAATAACTTGAGGTCATCCATATAGAAAAAGGTGGGTCACTTTTGTCCCTCCTTTCCGTAGCTGAAATCCTCTCCCGGATCCCTCTAGTAAGGTACTGAGAGGGTTCAGGCCGAGGCAGAACCAGATTGGACTCAGACAATCGCCCTGGAAGATACCCCTTCTTATCCTTATGTGGTTCTCCGCAGCCATCATCCGCTCACCCAGATGACAAAGGATCGTACTCCACTGCCCCATACACTACTCGAGGAAGTCTCTAACTGTACAGTCTATCTTGTACAGCTCGAGGACTCTTTTTAGCCATGTATGGGGCACCGAGTCGAATGCCTTTCTGTAGTCTATCCAGGCGGCGGAGAAGTTCCGACGGTTGCGTTTCACCACTTTGCCAATGACCGCGTCAATGAGGAGTGGTTCCTTGGTTCCACGACCACCGCCCCGACATCCATTTTGAGCGCGTGACCTGATCATCACCTGATTTAAGCTCCAGGTGACGAGTGATTCTCGCGCTCAAAATGGATGTCAGTGTCTTATATATGGTGGGTAGACACGTAATGGGGCGGTATTTGCTCGGGTCTGTGGTAACCTGGTCTTTAGGAACCAAATAAGTGATCCCAGTAGTGAAGAGGCTAGGGAGCGACTTCTGGTTGAGAGCCTCTTGAAACTGTCGGGCGAGCACAGCGTGACACACTATGAACCTCTTCAGCCAGTAATGATGCAGCCCGTCGAGCCCCGGACTTTTCCAGTTCGGGGCCCTACGGATCGCCTCAGCCACGTCTTCCGGCGTTATGATCATGGGGTCTATAGGCGTACACTCGCACCCTGGCTCGCCACAACTTCCATCCAAGGGCCCTCACTGTGGTTTACGGGCTCTGACCACAGGCCACGCCAGAATGCGATAATGTCAGCCTGATCCGGCCCTTGAGCCGCTCCACATAACTTTGGTCGCTCCAATGATTTATAGAGCCTCTTCTGATCACTCTGGAAGAGACGATTCTGGTTGAACCGCCTTGACCTCTCGGTAAATCGTCGAATCCGCTTCCCCCAAGCAGCGATCTTTTGCTTCAGGTCGTCTATGCGCTCCGTTAGTTTCTGCGTGATATCCGGCTGGGACAAACTGATATTTGTCCCAGCAAACGCCATCCTAACGGTGCGCATAATCCTCGGTCTATTATTACACGACCTGAAGCTTGTCAGTCTGCCGATAAGGGCCCTTGCCTTTGCGATACGGTCCTCGATTCTTTTTCTCCAGGCTGGGATGGCGCTACTTTGTGTAGTAGCGCGTCCAGCCATGGGAAGTTTGGCGCCAATAATACGGCAAACTGCCACTGCGGCGCCAAAGAGAATTGAGTCCGTCTCGCAAAGGTCCCGGCTGGCTTCCAAATAAGTCACCAGCATTGGGTTAAGAGCCCTCACGACAGCCCGATTTCGTTTGCTTAGGTGTATGCGGGGGAAGTCGCGGTCGATTTTCGAGAGGGGTGCTACGCGTTTCCAAAATCGCCTCTTCCAATATACTCCTCATTTGCTCTAGTTCGTGGGAGACTATTTCATCGTCGTTCGAATCAACCACAACTGGAAGATCCATGGCGGCTTCCACGTGTGGATGCTGGTCTGTCGAATGTGGAGCTGCATCTCCAGCCATAACCGATTCATTCGACGACGGAATAGCCTCACGTCGTAGTCGTTCGAGTTCGGCATCATCAAGTATTTTCGAGCGCATGATGTACCGAACTCGGTCTGCCAGGTTTTGTTCCGTGACGGGGATAGAAGGCTCCAGCTCAGCAAAAAAGCAATGCATCCGAGACCTATACGCTATTTCCACAGTTTCTTCCCCTTTCGCCCTATAGTACGCCCGCAATGCGTTTTCGTTCATAGATTTTGTCCAACGCATGCGACGTGCTCCACCAGCGGCGGGTGCGGCTTGCTGAGTCCGATAAGACCCAGCCGACACCAAGCCTTCTGGTGGGGATGATGGATGCGAGGGGCTGCTAGACGGCTCCAGACGCGCCCCGGCGACCCCCAGGCAGCGGCCCTATGCGCGTTCCTTTCTGTGTTTCTTCCATCATCCATTTTATGGGCGACAAATAACGGGAGACGCCCAAACCCAGCACCGTTTCGTGGTTGGGTCATATGCACAAACGGACCTTTGCACCTACAATTTTGCCTAGGCACGGCGCTCACACCTCTTGGCAAGATGCTGACTGATTGCGCCGACGTAGCAGTTTTGTCATATAACTGTTACGTCAGCGGGCGATGGGGTCGTCACTTCCCTACGCCATTTTATTTTTATTATTATTATTATGTTATCATTTAGCAGAGGAGAGATAAAAATGTGTAACTTCAAACACTACGATTACCAAATTAGCATACTAATGTACTTTCTTCGGTGGGAGATGCCCAAATCCAGAATTGCATCGTTTTCGCGTCGATGAAGCCATAAAGAGCCGAGACTTACGCAGATTCAATACTGCTCGTATTGGTAATGCGACTGAGTGGAACCACAGCCTTTGCCAGAGACCAGTCTACCTGAAAGCCACCTGTACAAATTGAAGACTGACTGAGGAAGCGTTATACCCATGACACCTTAGATTTTGAGTAAGATTAAGAGGCTATGGAAACTGTATACATCATCTTTGTTGCCACACACAAGCGTATCAAGACCGTCAGTATGAGGAATTGCTCTCCAACATCTTATAAAGGACAAGGCCGTGTAAGTCACATTGTTACTGCGAAGCTTGTGAAATAGGGTGGAAATCGGGTGCTTAAAATCCTTCAGAAGTTCTTTAATTCCTTTATGATAGCTCTACTTCGGGACGTGGAGCAGAAGTGCTCTATAGAAGGGCCTTGAACACCCTATTGAATAAATACCGAAATGTTTTCCTTTTCGTCTAACAGGCAGACTAGACAACTTCCAGTTCAACGAACAACCTGATTTCCGGAATGGATTTATTATCACAGGTCATTTTGATATTCACCCTTCGGTAAATTATACAGAAAACCGTAAAATAAAGTCAATCCCTTTATCTTACTTATGTGCACTATAAGAAAGCTTTTAGAAAGAAAAACTTGGGCGATGCTACAGTCCGTATCTGTACAGTTAGACTACAATGGTTGTTCAGTACAGAATCAGAGTACAAATTTCACTTGGTAGCGCCATGACTCTAACACGTAAAACTGTGCTACAACTATACTACTAATATGGCTGCAGCTATATTAGTAGTATAGTTGTAGCACGAATGGTTCGGCTTGACTTGAAAACGACTACGCTCCGACAGAATACCAGTGTAAAATAAGAGCTTAATGCTACTGTGTTTCGTATAGTGAGTGTAGAGAACCAGAGACCCCTATTACTGAAAACTAGGCATTCTATCTTAGTACACACGGGTGACAACGCATCTGCATTTTGATTTCGTAATCTAGGATAGATGTAGATGTCTATAAGCTACAGAAACCTCTTACCATCAGGTCGACTGAGTGCTCGTTTGTCACCCTTATCCTATAAAACAAAGGATATACAACTGCAGAGATGTTTAAGACAGCGTTTTCAAGCTTCGATTGAGAATAATCCCACACAATTCCATTTCATGAATTTATTATTTTATATAAAATTAACAGCCTTTAATAGGCCATTATTGGATACATGATAACTTTATATCGAGTCAGCTAACATGTATTACTTGGAATGCTTCAATAACCTACCAAAAAGGGTAAGTTAATTATTGTGAATAAAACAATAACAATATTCATCATCATCATCATTATTACAGCCCTTCACAAGTCCACTGCTGAACATAGGCCTCCCCCAAGTAATGCCACAAAGCACGGTCCTGAGCCACTTGCATCCATCGACTTCCTGCATGTCTTACCAGGTCGTCATTCCATCTAGTGGGGGGTCGCCCTACACTTCGCCTACCGGTACGAGGCTGCCCCTCGAGAACCCTTCTTCCCCAACGGTTGTCGGTTCTTCAAGCTATATGGCCGGCCCATTGCCACTTCAGCTTACTAATCCGTTGGGCTATGTTGGTCACTCATAACAATATTCACGCACTATTAATTTTTATTATTATTTTAACAGTCTGCAGAATTTGGGTTTAACGGTTTCAGCAGTGTGATGGCAGCATGTGACGGTACAAAATCTCCATTCCCAGTTTGGGTGTCATATCGTGGGTGACGAACCGAGAACAACGAGAGAGCCCAGTGTCTAGCAATAGACCTTTACGGCCTGAAGATGAAGAAACTCGTCTGTTAAGGCAAAGCCAGCAAAAAAAACAAGCAAGAAACATATTACAAATTAGTTTAAGTAACTTTGAAGAGGTTCATGACTACCACATTTTTTTAATAGGATAAGGATGAGAAACCAGCATACAGTCCACCTGATGGTAAGTGGTTGATGTGGCCCATAACATCTATGACGTACAATATACAAATATGACGTGTCACATTGACAGGTAATGCTATGCTTAGTCGGCTCGACTTGCTGTGCCATGATGAAATCGAAATTTTAACGTGTAGATTTTTTTAGATCAAGGTTCAGTTACTTATACTTGATATACAATACCTATCGTCCATAATCATAATAGTTGCTTACATTTGCGCAAATGGTACACACTGAATAAAGCTTATTGTACGGATTTTATCGCGAGTAATCTATATTATTTTAGTTCCCTACGTTTCGGACGCATCAAAGTTACCACGGTCACGGGGCGACTGATGTGCTTGCTGATAGTTTCTTATATTTACGCGAACAATACACATTTAAGTAATACTAGTTTTTACCGATTTTTATCGCCTATATTAACTTTTATATACCTGACATTTTGAGCACTTTACAGCACTCATGGCCACGTGGGGGCGGGGGGGGGGGGGACTGAGATGTTCAACGTCCAGATGTCATAGTCAGTTATGGTAGCTGCGGTTACCATTGTTTTAACAAGTATTTTTGATAGTAAAATAGTTTGTAAGTACTCAAGAATTAAGATAGAAACATCAGCGACTAAAAAGAAAATATTTACCTTGACTTCAATTTGATGTAACATAATAACAACTAATTAAAAAAATATGCTAACTATATACATTTTTATAACACTTTACAGCACCCATGGTTACGGGGGGACTGAGATGTTCAGCGTCCGGATGTCATAGTTATATAGTTATGGTAACCGCGGTTACTATAGTTAACTATGACATCTGTCCGTGCAATAAGCTGTAAAGTGCTCGAAACGTCGGGTATATAAAAAAGTTAATATACGCCATAAAATCCGTAAAAGCTAGTATTGTTTGAATGTCCTTGCTGATGTTTGAACTCGGTTGTAAATATCGATCAATTAATAACCTCCGCATTTTAATCGAGTAACACATAGTATAATTTACTACACAGAGTATATATTTATTACATAGAGTAAAATTTTTGACCATGCAGTGGCGGTGTAAGAATATCCCCACATCGTCCCGTGTATATCGTGAGAGGCGACAGATTGAAACAAACCAGGAGATGGGCAGCAGCTTCTTCCCAATAAAATTTATTATAATTAAAAAACTGCGGTTGCCAACCCGCTTGCGAAACGTGGCAACTGTAGAAAATATCCTTCTTATGAGAAAATCTATAGGTCTAAGTTCAGCAGTGGACTTGATAGGCTGTACTAAACAAAATAATTACGAATTTTAAATCAGGAGAAGGAACAGGCTCATTTCCAGCAGTTTTTATTAGTCAGCCTGTAATAGTTACAGGCTGACTAAAAAAAAACAATAATGATTTCTTATATTTACTCGAACACTACATATTTATAATTTTAATTCCCGATTTTGCATAGATGTTAGAGAAACGTCGGGAATTAAAAATCAAGAAATTAAACGCGACAAGATCCGTAAAAGTTGTTTTAATTAAAATAAAAACAAAAGAATTTTTTAAATTATATTTTATCTAATTTAAAGTCTTCAAACTACAGAAAATCTATAATTTGGCTTAAATAACATAAAATAGTACAATTCACTTCAAAATATTGGTTTACAAATAGCTAAGTACTACAGTTTCGGTAATTGTGGCTTAGTTTCGTACGGGTATGCTCTGCTAGGTCTTGTGATTATACTATTTATCGTGCACGACGCGCTGAACCGTCAACTAAACAAGTCGTATCTGGAATTTAGGACACGTAGCTAATTTAATCGTTAGTAGTACATTTGGGTAGTGCTTTTTTATAGAAGAGGGGGCAAACGAGCATGCGGCTCACCTGATGTTAGGTTACTACCGTCGCCCATGAACAACTGCAACACCAGAGGATTTGCAGGTGCGTTACCGGCCCTTTAGAAAAGAGTAAGCTCTTTTTTTGAAGGTCCCCAGATCGTATCGGTCCGGAAAAATCGCCGGTGGTAAACTATTCCACAGAGAGGTCGTATGCGGAAGAAAACTCCTTGTGAAATGTACAGTGGTGGACCGCCAAGCATCCAGATGGTGTGGATGGTATCGGGACGTTTGCCGCGTAGTGCGTTCACGAAATTTGGCGGCTGGGATTAATCCGAAGAATTCCTCAGAGCACTCAAGAACACAGCTTTGGTTACTACAGGCTTTAAGCAGTAGAAAAGGGGGGGCCTTAATGATTGTGGGTTCGACCTCTGGTCTGGCTTTTTTACTATTCAACTCAATTTTTTATTTATTTATCTTTACAAAATATAGTTATTGAATAACATCTGACAGTACAAATAAACTTACAAAAGTTTTTCATGTACCGCCGATTCGTAGCTTCGACCATGTTCAATCGATTCGCGTGGTGACAACTTAATTAATGACTTACATACATGGTGTGACAAAACAGCAATTTTTTTAAGTAGATGTAGCAAGACATAGTGAGTATGATAAATAATATTAGCAATTGAGATAATAATGTTACGATTTTGTGTATCTATATATACATATGTTTATTAGTAGATTTGTATTTGTGTAGGCTGGAGTCAATATTTATGTAAAAACACAAATCGTTAGTTTCGGAGTTTATCTGTTATGAATTATGATTGTCTATGTGTACTTAAAAAGATACACATTCGAGTGAGTCGTAAAAAAACCACACTCTCACAAAATATCAGCGTAAAAAATAACATAAAATTAATGATGTTTATAGATTATTTTTATGATATTG